CAGTTATTTTAATTGTGTTCACATCTTTTCTTTTTTTTATTTTTAAAATTTGCTATATGGCATGTTTGCTTGCCAAAGAGGGAGAGAGAAAGGGAGGGAGAGAGAGAGAGAGTGAGAGAGAGAGAAAGTGAGAAAGCACCTGCAGGGAGGGTGACCACACCACACCACAATTCCTTCTCCTCCATTCTCCTCTTGGGCACGCACCACATGCACCCGGAATAAACTGGGTCTGGGACTTGAACAAGCTGTCGGCCATGTGGGATCCAGCTGCCTTAACCACTAGGCAACCTAGCTGGCCCCGTTCAAATATTTTCTACCAAGTACAATTGCTGCAGTTTTCAATAATATATGATTTTTTTTTTGAGAGATTTTCACAGTAGGGCGCGTACACTCGCCAGACAGACAGAGAGAGACATAGAGACAGAAAACGAGAAATCACCCCCAGGGGGGATGGTCACACCACAATCCCTTCTCCTCCATTCTCCTCTCGGGATCTTGGGCACGCACGCACACGTGCCCGGCGTGAGTTTTAAGCCACCGGGTCCGGGACGCGAACCGCGGTCAACTACGTGGGAGTCCAGCAACATAGCCATTACGCTAACTGCTGGTTCCCAATAATATATGATTTTTTAGTGAGCCTGTGTCCTAAAACAATGTATGTGGTTATAGCCATTGTTGGTTTTATTTTGTGATTATTTAATTCAACTAAAAATATTCACCATGAATTGTATAAAAATGTTAACATGTAAGTATTTCTTAGCTAACCCATCATGAGATTAAGGGTAATGTCTCTAGGGTATTTCTTGGAGTTCTCCATTTTCCTGAATTGATCTAATCTTTGACTAACCCAGTTCTTCCACCTGCTTTTAATCGTTTTGTATATCGGGTGCTAAATGTGCCTACACATGGCAGAAGAAACAAGTGTTAAGTGTTCAGAGAGCTAAATCAAAACATCCTGTTTTGATGGAAAAGCTACCCACATAGGCTAATGCTGGCATGAGCTCTGTCAGGGCCAATTAAAAAAAATAATAATAATCTAAAGCCTGGTGAGCTTCCCTCCCAGGAGTAAAGGCCCTCCTAACAGCACACAGCCAGAGTCAGCGGCCGTCTGTCCTCTCACAGATACTAGATGTCTACATGCTCTGCACTCCTAAAGAAAAAAAACAGAATGACCATACTATGCTCCTACTTCTACTTTAAAACTCTACTCACTTAATAAGGGGATTTCTAAGTTTTAGTAACAACTACGCAAGCAAAATTCTCTTAAGTTAGAAGGAGACCTCCTTGTCAAAGAGAAATTCTGTGGCTCTGTGTACATGAGGAAAGAGCAAAGGACATTATTTTCTTTCATTCCCCAAATGGGAATATTGTCCAAGTAGCTGCTGCTGCAGCTGTAAGAAGGTATCTTTTGTGTAACTAGAAAAAGGAATAATAGAGATATATTCTGACTTTTGTTCTTAAATCCAAAACTTTAAGCTACATTATTATTTATAGTAGGTGTAACTCACTTTAACTCTTATAAATTATATCTGAAAATGAGTCTACGAAAGCATACACGTTCCATTCTGTATATTATAACACACTCTCTAAGCCTGATTTCTTTTAGGACCCATTCCAGGATAAGGAATAACCTAACATGGTTGAACTATATACTAACACTTATCATGCAATGATTGATAAAATGCCCAACTACTTTATCTTCAAAAAATTTTTTTTCTTTTGAGAGGCTTTTGATATAGGGTGCGAGCACTCGCCAGACAGACAGAGACATAGAAACAGAAAGCGAGAAATCAACCCCCAGGGGGATGGTCACGCCGCAGTCCCTTCTCCTCCATTCTCCTCTCAGGATCTTGGGCACGCACGCACACGCGCCCGGCGTGAGTTTTAAGCCACCGGGTCCAGGGCGTGAACCACGGTCAACTACATGGGAGTTCAGCGACATAGCCATTACTCTAACTGCTGGTCCCTATCTTCAAAATTTCTCTTGTGACATCACACATTAAGTCAGATTTAAGTCATGTTCAATATTAATGCATGATTTCATACCCAGGTCTGATGATTTAGTAACATGCCACTGGGCTCAAAGGTCTGAAACCCAAAGGACGCCTGGAAATGGCTGGGCCGTGGGCTGTCCAAGTCACTGAAGCTCAATTGCCCTCCTCTGGAGAATGAGGCAGTCCGCACAAGCTGAAATGCAAACATGGCATTAATTATTGGCACTGTAATCATTTCAAGGTGGAAATCAGTATTGTGCTCTATATTCCTTCACCCAAACAAATACATGTGATTTATGCAGCCTCAGAAAGAGAGTTGGTTTTTCTGCATATGTTATCAATCATGTGTAAAGTTTTATGTGTATAGGCAGTATTTATTCTTAATTTGCTACAAACTTGATATGCAAACATGAACCTTCACAAGGTTCCAAACCCCCTCTCACCTTCCAGTCTTCTGAACACTTTTTGGTTACTCCCACAGTATCATTCAACCTAACAACACCACTGGTCTTCTTCAGATTTTTCATACAGCCTCGGAAAGCAGGTGTAGAAATGTTAAACCTGAAGAAGGATACAAGAAAAGGAAGAGGTGGATCATGCCAGGCTCCCCGAGAATCACAGCTGAAATACTCCACGTTCTCTAGCACTTCTCTGCTCATAAACCAAGATGTATCTCACAGTTAGTCATTCCTATCAGATTCCTGTCATGGGACTTCTATAATACTACTTGTTTTATGATGCTGGGAAAGTCTAATTCCTTTCTGGGTGACTCTGCACCCCAGCTTTAAAAATGATACTAGGGGGACCAGCAGTTAGTGTAATGGCTATGTCGCTGGACTCCCACATAGTCGACCGCGGTTCACGTCCTGGACCCAGTGGCTTAAACTCACGCCGGGAGGGTGTGTGGTCTGCCCAAGATCCCGAGAGGAGAATGGAGGAGAAGGGATTGCGGTGTGGCCATCCCCCCGGGGGGATGATTTCTCGCTTTCTGTCTCTCTGTCTCTCTCTGGCTGGCGAGCGCATGCTCACTATAGCAAAAACCTCTCCAAAAAAAAAAAAAAAATGCAGACACTAGGGCAGCCCCTGTAGCACAGTGTTTAAGGGAATTTAATCCCACATGACTGACCACAGTATGAATCCCAGCCCCAGTGGTTTGAAAAACACGCTGGGCAAATATGCATGAGTGTCCCAAATTCTGGCAGAATGAAGGAATAGAGGAAAGGGGATTGTACGTGGCCAGGCCCTGTTGGAGGGATGAGTGTGTGCACTCTGGCAATTAAAAAAAATTCTCAGACAATAATGTTGACAGAATAAGCCAGTGTGCTACAGAGAAGATAACAATATATCTACAACGGCCCACTTCAACCTCCCAGAGTCATACATGGCATTGCACAGTAGATAGGGATTACACTGATAACTTAGTGTACTCTATCGTATATAAAATATACTAATATATTAATGAATACACAATTTATAAGAACCAGGAGTGCTTTAGAAAACCCTTTGCTCCTTTTCTTGTTCGCTCTTAAGCTAACCACGGTAAAACAAAGTGTTACTTTGGGGTTCTATGTAGCTATGAAAATGTGGCTGATTTAATCAATACCAAGCTGAAACAATGGAAACCTTTGTCTGGGTTTCTACGCTGTATCCACTTCCCCCATCTGTGCGACTTGGCTAAGAGGTTATTGTGAAGATTAAACAAGTTACTGTACAGAAATTGTTGGGAACAGTGTGTGGCCCGTGGGCATGACTACACAGGAGGTGTTTCTGAGAGGCAGTGTGCTGCTGTAGCATGTGAGCTCTGGACTTCCTGGGTTCAAGTTCAGCCCTTGCTGCTCGAGCCGGTGACTTAACCTTTCTGTGACTCTTCCTTTTATACAATGGGAATATCGGAATCTGTTTCATGTGGTTGGTATAAGTTTAAATAAATAAATTATGAGGAGTCTTCAAAAAGTTCATGGAAAATGCATATTTTAAAAAAGTATAGATTTTTCAAAACATTGGCACCAAAATAAAATTATACTTTAATTCCCTCTTCCCATGAATTAGTTTGAAGTCTCTTCATATGTTAACACACTTAAATGGTGCTAGGTATAGAGTAAGAAGTCAATATGAGATATTAGGGTTAGTGACGATCCCCATCTTTTTACTATTGTAACAATGACAACAATTTCCAAGGCAGTTTTTCCTCCAAGGTGCCTCTACATTCCCCCTTTGATTTGATTTCTAGATCCATCTGCAGCTGAATTCACATAAAGCAGTAACACACATGAATGGACTGAAGTCCAGGCAAATATTTGTTTCTTAAACAAATGAAGTGCTAAGAAAACCCAAAGCTGATTTTATTATAAACCCCTAATGCAGCTCACTGTTCTAAGTGGAAAGATGTCTGTATTCATTTTAATCCAACTCATTATAAACAGTCGAGCTACATGTAATATGCATAAAATTAAAGTTCATTAAAAGGAAGAGGAAGAAACAAATCCCCATTGGCATTGCAACACAAGAGTAATTATTTTTAGAAAGAGGCTGCTTTATTTTGTTTCTCTTAGAAGAGGAGGAAAGTTCATTTTAATTCCTGGAGCTTATCTATTTGTACATATTTTTAGACCCATTCTCTCTGGAGTTTCCATGTACCTCCTGGACTTCAGCATCCCCTGAACTCCCTCTCTCCATAGAGTGTATGCTAATGGAAGAAGGTGGCAGAACAGGAAGAGAGGGGGAACGAAAGATTACACACAGGGCACCTATTTTAGACAAGACATTGTTCCTCTCCTCTACAATAACATTTCAGGGGAGATATTTTCTTAACTAATATTAGCTAAGCACTTTGCATACATTTAGCACTAGGCGAATTCATTTACACACTTTGAATACTCACAACCACCCTATAGTGACCAAGCCCATGTAGCAGATGCAGCACAGTGGCTGAGGGAAGCCAGGTACTTGTGTAGGTCATACAGCTGACAAGTGGCAGAGCTGGGGTCCCTGCATGATCAGTGTGCCACACAAGTTTAGTGTGACCTGAAGCCCTCATTCTCTACTTACAATTGGTGTCCCTTCAGTGCTTGAAGTGACCATAACGTCTTCCTAAGCAACAGCTGTCTACCCTAGAAGTGTTAAAATGGAAGATTTATTTCCACTGGCCCTTGGGGTTCTTTTTTTTTTTTTTGGAGAGGTTTTTGCTATAGGGCGCGTGCGCTCGCCAGACAGACAGAGACAGAGAGATAGAAAGCAAGAAATCACCTCCCAGGGGGGATGGCCACGCCACAATCCCTTCTCCTCCATTCTCCTCTCGGAATCTTGGGCATGTACGCACACGCACCCGGTGTGAGTTTAAGCCACCGGGTCTGGGACGCGAACCGCAGTCGACTACATGGGAGTCCAGCGACAAAGCCATTATGCTAACTACTGGTCCCAGGGTTCTTTTACATTGGCTCATCTGAGGGCCTAGAGTTCCACATTTGCTCCTGTTTCACAAGGTCTGAACACATCGGCTAGAGGGACGCCATCGCATTGAGAAATACGTTGCTGTGTTAATGGGTTCTGACATTTGGGATATACATGAACACTTGGGCCAATCTGTTCACACAAGTTCAGCGAACTCCATGGCTTTCATGGGCTGTTTTCACAGAGCCATAGAACAAAACATAATCCTAAACTCAGTGCTGGCTACCTGGTAAATGTTTAACAGATCCTTGTCTGACTTTTATTTGTCTAATGATTTTCATTTTAACTGTTATTATTACACTCTCCAACACAAAGGTGTAGGTTCTCAGGAAAAATTTCCTTGTTAGTCTCAGATTCTCTGGCATTATCTGAGATGATTCACTCCTCCTGGGGAGCAGATGGGATTAACAGACTGAGATTTCTAATTACAGTCTTAAATCACTCCAAGATATGGGTTCCCATCCCCAGACGATATACTACAGTGACAGAGGAAAAGACAAAATACCCACAAACTTCCGTGAGCAAACTTGCTTCATTCAGTGATTACACTACCTTGCTCTGCTCCACGTTAGGTCTGAGCACTTTGGCCATCTATTAAGGCCTTTCACTCGTATCAGGGATCAGAAAACCTCCTTCCTTTGGAAGTTTTGCCTGGCTGCCCCTTCATGACAGGACTATGGGTTATCAGTTAGAGAGTAACTTCTCTATGTCACCCTCGCCCCAGTGACCCAGAGGGCAGTTTCAGGCCTCTTGAGACCACCAAAGACTTTACCAGAGGAATGAAGTGGGGCCAGAAAGAGCTGAATTTTGCTCTAGAAAGAGCCCCACCTGCCTGTGTCTTGGGCTCCAGGCAGGCAGCCGGTCTCACCATCCCACTCCTGGTGCTCTCTAGCAGCCTGAGAGCTCACCCAAAAGCCAGGTTTCATTCTTGATCACATTTCTTCTTTACTCCCAAACTCAAGTTGTCCTTTGGTGCTGCCCGTCTGCCATCTTTAATATCCTTGTAATCTACTCCCCTTTCCTTACCTGTGCTGCCATTGTAATCCACTCCCCTTTCCTTACCTGTGCTGCCATTTCCCTCTTCTGTTTCTCACTTCTGTAAATACACTTACCTTCTAAATGCTCTGCCCACCTCAGCCTGTTCCCTTCCCAGGCCATTCTCTACCCAGCAGCAGAGTGAAGTACCGACAACCTGAAGTGGGTCATGTCTTTTCTGCTGATGTCTCTTAATACTCCCGAGTGGGACTTTCAAGACCCTCTGGTTCTTGCTTCTCACATGAGCCCTACATGGCTTCTCTGCCCTGCTCCCCCATGTCCTCCAGCTTCCTCTAGTTCTTGGTCCTTCTCCTATGTTAACTGGTAGCATCTCACAGGAATTAGCTAAAGGCCACTTTCCTGATAACCCCAACTGGATTCAATTCCATCTCCTGGGTAGGCTCCATCATCACCCTGGGCTTCCCTCTCCCTCCACTGTTTTGGATCTTGGGCACTTGCGCACATGCCTGGTGTGTTTTAGGCTGACAGGGCTGGGATTTGAATGGCCATCACTAGATGTCTTCCTACACTACAGTCCAGTGTGTCTATGTCACCATGACTGGGCCTTCTGCTCTTCTTTAGGCTCTGTCCTGTTTATTGTTGACTTCCCCAAATTCACCACACTGCCTGATGCACACTAGCACTCAAGAAATACTGATGAAACAAAAAAATAAGCAATAATTCTCAAATGATCTCAAAAGGGCTGATTACCTTAATTTACTCAATTTTTTACATTTAATTGAATAAAACCAAGATAATTGACAATTCATAACTGGCTACTGAGGGCTGAATCATTATTTAACACTGAGGATATTCAATATTACTATCACCTCTTTGGCTCTCAATTTCTTCATTTGTAAAATTCAATGACTATGCACCATGATCTGCAAAATGCTTTCAGTTCAAAGCATCTGAGAAGTAAAGACATTTACGCTCACCTACATTTTTGTCTTTGGGTCTACCCTGACAACTTTAAAACAAAGTAGCCTCCCTACCATGGCAGACAGATGTCCACAAGTACAAAGACTCTAGAAGAAAGAATCACTGCACAGCAAGCACACGATATTCAAATGCCGTGAAAACAGGTAAGACTGGGCAAGAACAGGCAGCGCTAAAGAGAGGCCAGGTTTACCAGTAGCGATGTATCCACCAAGACAGGCAATCTGCCTTTCGGAAAATATTATCTTACCTTTCCCTGATTGCAATTGGAATTCCTCCCAAATAATATGTGCTGAAATCAAATAATTCACCTTCAACTTTAACATTTTGAGAATTCACATTTATCCACATAAGTTCTCGGGTTTTTCCAATTTTTATTTGAATCTGTAATCAATACAAGATAAACCAGCAAGTAATGAGAAATAAAAGAATCCTATTTGCAATGTTTCAGAGCTATTTTGTTTTCATCTTCTTTCAGATTTCTTCCTACTACATACATAGAAGGAAAACTGAGAAGTAGCACTTTTGGGTAAAAAATACTAAAACATTTTAATAGAACTGCTTGCATTTCAAAGTAACTGTATTCTATATATGGCCTATATATGTAATATCTATACCTATGTCTGTATATGAATTGTGTATATGTGTATATACGTAGATACATGCATGTATGTGTATACATACATGTACACATGTGTGTATGTGTGTGTATCATGCCTAAATGTTCAACTTTTTTAAAAGATGTGTCCTGTTAATACGTCACCTGGTAATAGAAAAGTTTGTTTTTGGGAGCACTACCTTTATTTAAAGGGACTAAAGATATTTAACAATTCAAATAAACAGAGTCAAAAGACATACCGTGTGGTCTTTCCCGTTGTTTATGGTGTCTCTAATTCCTTTTTCTTTTGGTGGTTCTGAATTCAGTTTGTGTCTCACGACAAGATTGCCATCTTCTATATTTAGAGATATGAAGTGATCCTGCAGTATGGAAACAATGTCAATTATCAGTAGAGCCCACTAAGGAAGAACAAGTGTTAGAACTCTGACAACTCTCAAGTCACAACCGTTTTCGGCTTTAGCTACCTCCTTAGTTAAAGGGGTAACTAAGGGGTGCTGCAATGTCTCACTCATGGAAGAGGTATAATGGTTAAATATTTTAACATGCAGTGGTTTGCACATAGGGCACATATAATAAATACTGTTATTATAATTTTGTTTCTTACGACCCATGAAAAAATGGAAACCAAAAAGATACGGCTCATTAATATCACTTGAGAATATGAATGCTCCCTTTTAGAGAGAGGCATGGTCTTACTTAAACTTAACCCAGGTATTTTCTACCATCTCTCAGTTGCATTTTCTGGCTCACCCCTCCTTGCATTTTGTGCTGGGGGCTCCTTAGGGACCCCACACAGGGTTCATCTTTCCCTCACACCCCTCTTTTGCCTCTAAGATTACATTCACTCTTGTGACTCCAATTCACACACACCCACAAAGCCCAAATATTTCTTTCCAGCCTAACTCTGTCTTCTGTGAGCCAGGTGTGTATCTGATTACCTTATTGTTATTGCTTTTGCTTGCATGACTCACAGATACCTCACCTTCAGAACATTTCAAACAGAATTTATGATCTCCATGCCTCCCACATGCTGCCAAGCCTGCCTCTCCTTCCTTCATACTGTGCACATGCTCGCTCCAGTTTTTCTCTCTCACTTCTAATTACTTTGCTGAACAAACCAGTCTTTCTCTTTTATTAAAAAAAAAAAAAAGTTTATTTATTGATTTCTTCCATGAGTAAGAGATACAGAAAGAGAGAGACAGGTGAGACAGCACCCCTAACAGCGCCAATGCCGTGATCTATCCCAGCTTCAGCCAACCCAGAGCATGAGTACTCGCACACCTTGTGTACTCAGGGTGGTCTCTGGATGAGAACCTGGAACCTTCCCATGTGGCTCAGCCTCAGAGAGTGTTGTGTTTTATGACCGCGTTACTGCCTGGCCCCTACTAGTTATTCTTGATCCCTGTTTCTCTCCCACTCAATCAAACCTTGTGAATGCTGTCATTTCTTCATTCTCCTCATTTCAGCTCCCTGGCCCCAGCCACAATGTCTTTAGCAAGACTGCACAGCAATAACCACTCATGTTCCTGTGTCCACTTGACCCCTTCTCAAATCCATTTTCCATTCTGCAGTCTTTGGAAAATGCCGAGGTGAGCACTCGTGACTTTCCTTTGCTCTCAGGACAAAGCCCGGACTCCCTGGCAGATGCTGTGAGGCTATGACCAGCTCTTCAGCTTCCTTTCTCAGCATGCCCTCTGGCCTTCTCATCCCAGCTACCCAGTGATTCTGAGTGATCCTGAGTGCTCCTGCCCTTCCCACCTTCTTTCTTCATGCCCACTCCCTTTGCCTGGACCCCCTTTGCCATGGTCCTTTCAAATACCTTCTATATGTTCTCCAGGTCTCAGATGATGCATCCTTTGCTCAAGAACGTCTTTTATGTTTACATCCTCACTTCATGCCAAATGCTTTCCTTTATATACTCCTCATAATTGTGATGAATTAACTAACCTATTAACAGCATAACTTTGTTCTCGAGGACAAGAGCCGTGTCTGTCTTGATTATTACTGCATGCCCACCATGGTGATAGCAGATGCAGATGCCCTTCCGCTTACAGTGCGATTACATCCTGGTAGACCCATCATTAATTGAAAATATCGTAAGCTGAAAATGCATTTGATACACCTAACTTACCAACCTCACAGCTTAGATTAGCCTACCTTCAAGGAACTCTGAACACTTACATTAGCCTACTGTTGGGCAAAATTATCTAATATGAAGCCTGTTTTATAATAAAGTGTTGGATATATTACATAACTTATTAAATATAGTACTAAAAGTAAAAAACAGAATGCTCCCTGCCACTGCCCAGATTGCAACAGAGTATCATACCATATTTAGCTAGCCCAGAAAAAGACCAAAATTCAAGGTATGGTTTCTACTGAATTTGCATTTGCATTGCTTTTGCACCATTGTGAAGTTGAAAACTCATAAGCTGGCTGGCCTGTGGCCTGGCAGTTAAAGCAGCTATATTCCACATGGCTACACACAGTTTGAGTCTCAGAACTTGGGGCTTGAGAAACATGCCAAAATCCCAAAAGGAGGGAAAAATGAAGAAAGGATTGTGAAAATTAATACGTCACCTGGTAATAGAAAAGTTTGTTTTTGGGAGCACTACCTTTATTTAAAGGGACTAAAGATATTTAACAATTCAAATAAACAGAGTCAAAAGACATACCGTGTGGTCTTTCCCGTTGTTTATGGTGTCTCTAATTCCTTTTTCTTTTGGTGGTTCTGAATTCAGTTTGTGTCTCACGACAAGATTGCCATCTTCTATATTTAGAGATATGAAGTGATCCTGCAGTATGGAAACAATGTCAATTATCAGTAGAGCCCACTAAGGAAGAACAAGTGTTAGAACTCTGACAACTCTCAAGTCACAACCGTTTTCGGCTTTAGCTACCTCCTTAGTTAAAGGGGTAACTAAGGGGTGCTGCAATGTCTCACTCATGGAAGAGGTATAATGGTTAAATATTTTAACATGCAGTGGTTTGCACATAGGGCACATATAATAAATACTGTTATTATAATTTTGTTTCTTACGACCCATGAAAAAATGGAAACCAAAAAGATACGGCTCATTAATATCACTTGAGAATATGAATGCTCCCTTTTAGAGAGAGGCATGGTCTTACTTAAACTTAACCCAGGTATTTTCTACCATCTCTCAGTTGCATTTTCTGGCTCACCCCTCCTTGCATTTTGTGCTGGGGGCTCCTTAGGGACCCCACACAGGGTTCATCTTTCCCTCACACCCCTCTTTTGCCTCTAAGATTACATTCACTCTTGTGACTCCAATTCACACACACCCACAAAGCCCAAATATTTCTTTCCAGCCTAACTCTGTCTTCTGTGAGCCAGGTGTGTATCTGATTACCTTATTGTTATTGCTTTTGCTTGCATGACTCACAGATACCTCACCTTCAGAACATTTCAAACAGAATTTATGATCTCCATGCCTCCCACATGCTGCCAAGCCTGCCTCTCCTTCCTTCATACTGTGCACATGCTCGCTCCAGTTTTTCTCTCTCACTTCTAATTACTTTGCTGAACAAACCAGTCTTTCTCTTTTATTAAAAAAAAAAAAAAGTTTATTTATTGATTTCTTCCATGAGTAAGAGATACAGAAAGAGAGAGACAGGTGAGACAGCACCCCTAACAGCGCCAATGCCGTGATCTATCCCAGCTTCAGCCAACCCAGAGCATGAGTACTCGCACACCTTGTGTACTCAGGGTGGTCTCTGGATGAGAACCTGGAACCTTCCCATGTGGCTCAGCCTCAGAGAGTGTTGTGTTTTATGACCGCGTTACTGCCTGGCCCCTACTAGTTATTCTTGATCCCTGTTTCTCTCCCACTCAATCAAACCTTGTGAATGCTGTCATTTCTTCATTCTCCTCATTTCAGCTCCCTGGCCCCAGCCACAATGTCTTTAGCAAGACTGCACAGCAATAACCACTCATGTTCCTGTGTCCACTTGACCCCTTCTCAAATCCATTTTCCATTCTGCAGTCTTTGGAAAATGCCGAGGTGAGCACTCGTGACTTTCCTTTGCTCTCAGGACAAAGCCCGGACTCCCTGGCAGATGCTGTGAGGCTATGACCAGCTCTTCAGCTTCCTTTCTCAGCATGCCCTCTGGCCTTCTCATCCCAGCTACCCAGTGATTCTGAGTGATCCTGAGTGCTCCTGCCCTTCCCACCTTCTTTCTTCATGCCCACTCCCTTTGCCTGGACCCCCTTTGCCATGGTCCTTTCAAATACCTTCTATATGTTCTCCAGGTCTCAGATGATGCATCCTTTGCTCAAGAACGTCTTTTATGTTTACATCCTCACTTCATGCCAAATGCTTTCCTGTATATACTCCTCATAATTGTGATGAATTAACTAACCTATTAACAGCATAACTTTGTTCTCGAGGACAAGAGCCGTGTCTGTCTTGATTATTACTGCATGCCCACCATGGTGATAGCAGATGCAGATGCCCTTCCGCTTACAGTGCGATTACATCCTGGTAGACCCATCATTAATTGAAAATATCGTAAGCTGAAAATGCATTTGATACACCTAACTTACCAACCTCACAGCTTAGATTAGCCTACCTTCAAGGAACTCTGAACACTTACATTAGCCTACTGTTGGGCAAAATTATCTAATATGAAGCCTGTTTTATAATAAAGTGTTGGATATATTACATAACTTATTAAATATAGTACTAAAAGTAAAAAACAGAATGCTCCCTGCCACTGCCCAGATTGCAACAGAGTATCATACCATATTTAGCTAGCCCAGAAAAAGACCAAAATTCAAGGTATGGTTTCTACTGAATTTGCATTTGCATTGCTTTTGCACCATTGTGAAGTTGAAAACTCATAAGCTGGCTGGCCTGTGGCCTGGCAGTTAAAGCAGCTATATTCCACATGGCTACACACAGTTTGAGTCTCAGAACTTGGGGCTTGAGAAACATGCCAAAATCCCAAAAGGAGGGAAAAATGAAGAAAGGATTGTGGCATAACTATGCCCCTGGGGGGGGGGTCTTTTTCATTTTCCCTTTCTTTCTCTCTCTTTGTCTTTCTCTGGTGATCATATGCACCTACTAGCAAATTTTAAAACAAAAAAACTGTAAGACAGACCATCCTAAATAGGGGACTGTCTGTATTTAAAGCAGCCAGTTCCTTAGTGGAAAAATAGGCAGAGGAATATCTGAAGTAGGACTTGAAGGCTTTGCTCATACTCAGTTCCCTAATAAGGAAGACTCTCTTGTAAGTCTAGAGCCAGGATTGTTATCTAAAAGGACAATCAGTCCTTACTTGGATCCTAAATGAGTCAGGCCAAGGTTCACCACACATAAACAATGAGTAACACCAGCTCACTGAGAGTAATGAGCCATCCTACCTAACAGCAGCTCTCTGGGTCATTTCCCATACCTAGCTACTGAGGGCATTATGTAAGTTTTCTCTAAGATAAGTAGTATTTCTGGTCGTTAGTCTTCAAGAACAGCAAAATGTAGTACAAAGAAGACTTGTTTTGGAGAATAACTGTCTTGTTCATAAGATGCTGTATGAATTTTCAGCTCTCTGAATCCTTCAGGCTGGTCAGGATCTTCCCAAACCATCAGAACTGGTTCAGTCTTAGAATCTCCTTGGAAGGGTTCAGATGAACCCCAAGAGGAGAAAGTTGGAACCAGGTCTGTGTCCTCAGATTGCAGGTAGACTGGTAAAATCCCAAGCTCCATATCAATCTCCTATTCTCTGACCAGAGAGTGACAGATTGATCGACATTTCTCTAGAAATACTACTGTGTGAGCAACTACAGAAGCTCCTGTATTCTGAAAGTGCAACTCAAGGTCCACTGTAGCTGTGAGGAAGCAGAGCAAACATTGAGCCAAATATCTATTGACCAGCAGGTGGCGCTGACGATCACTTGTGGAGCGTCCCTTTGGATTTTTCTAACCCAGTGGATTTAAGTATGGTCTCTAGAAACCTCTTGAGAGTAGAGAAGATTCTAGGTCTTGGGAAATCAAAGGTCAGGCTGATAAAGACACAATCCCACTCAGGCTGACAAAGGTCATACTAATGGAAACAGCAGAAAGTCGAATGGTATAGGTCGCAGAGATCTGGGAAGTCCTCACATATTTTGAGTCAGAATAAGTAGATTACTAAGTGAGCAATAGTTTTCAAAAAATAAAACTGGCAATGAAAATAGCATGGGAAATGGGGCGATTTCCCCTCTATGTGGCATGTTCTCAAATATGACTGATTACTTGTTCTCATCAAAACTCAACACCAGCACCAGCCACCACAATCAATGAAAAAAAAAAGTACAGTTGATCAAGAGAAAGGAGGCAGGTAACATTTACAGTTTTTCAGAACCAACTGATTGTTTATAATAACCCAGCTATCCCCAAATTGCTAAATAGAATGCATCTATTTGGTAGTATTTGGATTCTTCCTATAGATTACCTGGTTTTCTGCAAAGAACACCAAACCTCTATCCACGGTGGTCTGAATAGTCTGTGCAAAGGTTGGGAAGGGAGCATTTGATTGAGTCGGAACTCGAGCATAGCCTGTGCCTTCAAAATAATTTTTGTCGGACTCTTCCCTTCTCCTGTCAACATCAATCAATCATCAGTTAGAACACAGGAGCAAAGGGCGGCCATGCAAATGTACTTACCAGTACAAGACACTGCTATCTGGAAAATGGAGCAAAGAAGGTGCAATCTAGTTGTCATAATTTTGTTAGAGAAAAGAAAACATCTTTAAGTGTTAAGATAGGTCTGGCTCCATGGTGCAAGGGAAATACACTGCTCAAGAGAACCCACGTGGCAACTGTGGCTTGAATCTCTGGCCTGGTCACCCAGAAACACACCAGACACATAAGAGAGAGTCCAAGATCCAATGGGCTAGAGAGCTGGAGGAAGGAAATTGTGTGACCAGACCCTATGGAGGGTGTTCATCTCTCTCTCTCTCTCTCTCTCTCTCTCTCGCCCACCCTTAGGTGTGCACATATGTTTTATCATAAATAAAGAAAAAGAAGTATTTTTAAAAATCCTAAAATAGCTAGTTCTTTCTCCTGAATGTACTCTTATGCTTGTAATCAAACCCTACCTCAAAAAAAGATAATATTCAAGAGTCTCTTTTGGGAATGACTACTTAGGAAGATGTGGCTTACTAACTGGAGCTCTCAAAATCTAAGAAAATATTAATTTGAAATATATCATTTTATTCTCAGTACTGAACACTTGGTCCATTTCTTATTAGAATATTCTAAACCCCTTTAATTTTAGGGAAGTTGAGGAGCTCGTGGTAGCAATTTTCAAATAGGTTCAGGTATCTACAAAGTCTTGGTACACTTTCTGGGCTATTATTTTTTCAAATTTATAGTAAGTATATTGGGACCAGCAGTTAGAGTAATGGCTATGTTGTTGGACTCCCATGTAGTCAACCGTGGTTCGCGTCCCAGACCCGGTAGCTTAAAACTCACGCTAGGCGTGTGTGTATGCCTGCCCAAGATCCCGAGAGAAGAATGGAGGAAAAGGGATTGCAGCGTGGCCATCCCCCCTTGGGGGTGATTTCTCGCTTTCTATCTCTCTCTCCCTCTGTCTGTCTAGTGAGTACACGTGCCCTATAGCAAAAACCTCTCAAAAAAAAAAATGTATAAGCATATAATTTGTGCCTAAATCAGGTACCATCTAAAACTGTATGCTTTGTGGTAGGGATTATCAAAAATTTAAGAAAGGTTCAACTTTTTAACAAGTTGTGAAACTATGTCAATCTTTTTTTTTGGTTAAGGCAGTCTTACTATCAAAATGCTATTGCTTGGGACCAGCAGTTAGCGTAATGGCTATGTCGCTGGACTCCCATGTAGTCAATCATGGTTCATGTCCCGAATCCAGTGGCTTAAAACTCAAGCCAAGCACCTGTGTGTGCGTGCCCAAGATCCCAAGAGGAGAATGGAGGAGAAGGGATTGTGGTGTGGCCATCCCCCCAGGGGGTGATTTCTCGCTTTCTATCTCTCTGTCTGGCAAGCGCATGTGCCCTATGGCAAAAACCTCTCAAAAAAAAAAAATGCTATTGCTGTAGTCTCCCAACTAGGACTATAGGAGCATGCCATCCTGCCTGGCTCGTCTATCTAATATTTTATACAACACAGGAAAAAACACGACATCAAAGGCCTCTCACTGGCCCATCCCTTTGTGACATGTAACAGTAATGCAAGTTACCAAAATGCCAGTTACAGAGACATTAATACCTAGATTTTATTTACCTTCTACAAGGCTCCACTTCAGTTGTATTGAGATTGAAAGTCTTTTTGAAGTTATACAAGCTCAGAACATTTTCATTGAGATCATCTAATTCAATACAACCTCTGTATTGAGGGAATCTTAGTCTGCTGGGAAGCTGGAAATGAAACAAACAAACAAAAAAACTCTCATTACTTGAACAAAGGACAGCAATCAGGCTGACAAAAAAAAAAAAGTATAAATCTATCACCTTTAATACAGCATAAAAATTAAGAATGTGGACCCTGGAGCCAGATACCCTGGCTTTGCTATTTACCAGAGGACTTCAAAAAGTTTGTGGAAAAATAGAATTGAAGTGTAAATTTATTTGAGGGCATAATTTTTTTTGAAATGCATACATAGTTTTTTTAATGATACACATTTTTGAAGACCCTTTACACTAGCTGTATGATATTGGACAAATTATTAAACCTCTCTATCTCAGTTTCCTCATCTATAAAATGGTAATGAGATTGATACTTATTTAAATTAATATACTTAAGCTTAGAACAATGTACAGAGGAAGTACTCAATGTGTTAGCTATTATCTGTATTTAGGAATATACAATGAACTATTTTATATGTAACTAATAATTAAAATAGAGACATGAGGTCCTTATACCAAATTAAAATATCTTCATTCAGTGTAATAACGTTTAGACATACCTTAAAATCAGGTGGGTAACCTCCAACATAAAATACAACATTTTCAGGATCCAAATTAAGGAGTGTGTTGCTATTTCCACTATCCATTTCATGAAATTGGGGATTGTCTGGTTTGATGGATGTGGCTCGTTTGGTGTAATTAAGCCTTGCAAACTGATAAATTCTGTTAAAAAGGAATTAGACAATAAATTCATACAAAAATATTTAAGAATTCAAAGCCAAAATTCTAAAAACAGGGTTCAGTAACACACATAAATGAAAGTTTGGGGACTGTCGGTCAGGTTCACAAACAATTGTCAATTAGACCAGTACCTCTGAAACTTCACCCGGTCCATAACTGCCTCCTGGCTTTCACTCTTGGTGAGGATCTGGTCCACTTGGAGTTCAGCCTCACGCCCTCCCAGGTTGTAGACACATGTGAGCTGGCCATCCACAACTGCCATGCCAATGTAGTCCCTGGAGGCCTGGAGACAGAAGAGCCACCTCACAACACTTCCCAGAACTTCCCATCCCCGGAGGATGCACTTCAAATAACTTACAGGTTTTAGGGAAAAAGCCCTGGGCAGACAGAATAAATAAGGTATGTCCTTTTACAGAGGAATACAGAATGCTTAATTAACAATATCTATGCCATCTTTGCCCTCATTACAGTGCACTCCTTTACTCATTTCCCCATTGCTCAATTTACAAGAGTTGCCAAGAGCCCACAAAGACCACCAGTTATGGATCAGCAGTTCAGTAGATTTTAGTCAGGTGGGGAAGATGGGCTATTTTTGTTCTTCCACTTGGTTCTAAACAAATTTCTCTTAACACCCTTGTGCATGTCTCTGTCCTAATACCGCTGTAGATCATGGTCAGGTGCGTATCTATCTTTCTTCCCTGTTGGTATGTAAGCATCTTAATGTAGAAATAATTTTTTAAACTCTTGTAAAATATACATGATATGAAATTTATTGTTTTACCCATTTTAAAATGCACATTGGTATTAAAATAATAAATGTCTGTTTATCAAAAATGCAGGGTATGGGAACCAGAAGTTAGCGTAATGGCTATGTCGCTGGACTCCCACATAGTTGACCGCAGTTCGCGTCCCAGACCCAGTGGCTTAAAACCCACGTCGGGCGCGTGTGCATGCGTGCCCAAGATCCCAAAAGGAGAATGGAGGAGAAAGGACTGCAGAGTGGCCATCCCCCCTGGGGGTGTGTGTGTGATTTCTCGCTCTCTGTGTCTATATCTCTCTCTGTCTGTCTGGCGAGCGCACGCGCCCTATAGTGAAAAACCTCTCAAAAAAAAAAATAATGCAGGGTATGACACATAGTATAAAGTATAAATTTGTTGATGGAATAAAGAAACATGCAATTTTGTGATAAGACAAAGCAGGAAGCAAGGTCATTAAAAAAGCCACAAATAAAATAGCAACACCTTGAACCTTGGAAGGATAATTACTGACAGTGTCTATTTGAAGAATCTTTAAATACAATGCCCACTAGTAACAACTAATGATTTCCTTAACTGGGTAGAAGTTTTGAGAACTGTATTTCAGACATTTCTTTTCCAACAGTTATACCCTAACCAGTCAGTGATTAGCTTTTCCTCTGGCACTTAAATAAGAGGAATGTATTTTAAAAGGAGGGCTTACCAGTTAAAGTCAACCATTCAAATGCTTCTAACAGTAATGGTTTAACGCATTTAGAATGAAGAGATGGGCAACTGCCTTTCTTATCAGTTAAGCAGGACAGGCTTCTTTGCACTCCAGTCCCCATTAATAGATTGTGCCTTCTGTGGACTTGAGGAAAGATCTGAAGCTGGGTATTCAGAGGAGGACAGGGTCATAATTCTGTGAGGAGTTATTATTGACTTCCATGAAGCCTTGACATTAATGACCTGGCAGTATGGGAGAGGGTACTTATTTATTATCCACCCTAAGTATGTATGTGTTCCTGTGTACACACATGTGTGTTCATGTGCTGGACCTGCTGGGTAAGGCAGCTGGCAATCCATGATGGATGGGAGGCCTTTTTGGATGCCACTACATCAGGGAGGTAAGTGGGGAGATGGATGAGGAGGTGGTGGGAGATGTGATGTCTTGGTGGGACTTGCCACATGTCTCATAAAATATTCCCTATTTTAAAATCAAGAGAAGTGTCCAAGCAATACTCACATCCTTATTTCCAAGGTACATCACAAACATATTCTCAGTCCCTCCAGTCTCTCTTGAGTCAGGTCTTTGGAGAAACAAAGACAGGGATGTGTATCCTTTCAAATCTTCCAGGTCATTTGGCAGTCGAACTTCAACTCCAGATTTGCCGTTGAACCTCATGGGAATAGCGACCTGTGAAGAATCAGATAGATATATTGCACTAAATCGTCTTCTGTGAAGAAAGTAAGCATGTTCAGAGAGGTAGTGGGTAACTTTGTAGCTATCCATCCCATCTATCATCTTTCCCCAAGAGGAGAATGGAGAAAAAGGGATTGTGAATTAGCCATCCCACCTGGGTGTGTGTGTGTGTGTTTGTGTGATTTTGCACTTTCCCTCAATCTGTCTCTTTCTGGTGAGTGCACATGCCCTAAGGCAAAACAAAAACAAAAACAAAAAAACAAAAAAGAAAGAAATTTGCTATAACTCTGTGTCTTCCATCTTCAACAAAGGTAGGTTCTACAAGTTTCAACTTATGAGAAGATCAGTCTTATGCAGTATCATTCTGGCCATAGAACCCTCACTTAAACTTGCAATAATAGTTTGTCAACCAGCTTGAAAGACAATCTTTCTTTCTACTTATATAAATTTAATGGAAAGAAACTGCTCCAGGTTTCTTATATCCAGACAGTTTAGGGGATGATGGTCATGTGCACTTGTGAAAGATGACAGAACGAAATCAACCTGTTTATTTGAAGTGAACCACAGAATTTGTGAAAGAAAGAATCAATTCTTGGGTAAATAAACACCTTTCCATTCTTGATGAAGATGGTAACTTATCAAAGCTACTTTGGCTAGTGACTGTGTGGGGATACACCCACCTTATTCGCTGCATCTCTGGCCTGCTGAATGAGTTCTCGAATTCGGTCTACGTTGTCAGAGATGTTTCCCAGGGGTAACAGCTGTTGGTTGATACTTTCAATCTTGCTCAAAAGATCAGGCAGTTTGTTGGTTAATCTCTTGACTGTTGGTAACATTGAAAATAGAAATTTTAAATTATGCATTGAGAAAAGGTTAAAGGCAGATGTTTTTAATGACAATATTTGTCAAGTGAGAAGTTTGGGCCCCAGATATTGAACAGGATGGCTCATAATCCTGTAATATCCTTTCAAATGTGTTGCTGATTTTATTCTGCATTCTAGGTACCAAATCTTTATCCTTGATTGCTATAGGAAATAATATTTTTTCTGATTTTCAATAGCAATCATAACTTAATAACTCATGATTCAGTAACTTATATCTCCACTTTATAAAGATCAATAACATTGTCCTGGATTTTAAAAAATACTGTTGGATCCTTCTAACTATATACTCTTTATATTAATTGAAGTTGTTTAATAATGTTTTAATTTCTTAGATCAGAATTTACCAGGGGTGATTGAATGACTCAAGGAGAAAATGGCTAATAATTTCTGGTCAAAGACTGTGTGATACCTGAGTTATCTGCATCAGTCAGAGCCTTGTTGAAGTCTTCACTCTGTGTGCTCCCATAGGTATCTTTAATTCTTTCCACATCTGTCTGAATGGGGTTGAGGCCATCCAGAACCTCATCCGTGATGCCATTGGCCTTTCTGATCAAGCTCTTTGCACTATTAATCATACCATCGATGTCACCTAATGTACAAATAGGGAGGTATTAAGTATGTAGAGCATTTAACAAAACAAGCCAAATACAGTGTGTTAGTGAGATCTCCACCTCTCTGTATCCCACGAAGATCATCACGGACAGAAGTGAGATTGGTGTCTATCAGTTCTTTCTGAACTGTCACAATTTTCAGGGTTTGCTGTAAGTTGTTGAGAGCCGGACTGATTTCTAAAATAAAATAAAGCATCAAGAGGTCACTCTTCAGTCAGAGGACAAAAAAAAAATGAGTGTGGTTGAGAGCCTCATCCAAGCAAATACAGACACAAAGTAGGCATTGCTTGTTTCTATTCATTTCCAACAGACACCTTAAAAAATTTCAGTAAAGGAAATGAATTTGCAGACCTTCTAGCTGATAATATTGCTGTCTCTGGGTCATGGAAAATGACCAGTGAATACTTTAACCATATTGATGATATATGACTTAAATTATTATTCTAAGACTGGCTTACACAACAACATGATTAGCATCCTAACCCTATTTAAAATACTGATCCTACCTCTAAGATCAAATTTTGTAGACAAAGCAGAGGTCATACCAGGAAATCTTTTATTTATTTATATTTTCCCAGAGAGGGTATGTGCTCACACACACATGCCCACATGAGGGAAAGATAGAGTGACAGAGAGAAAGCACCTTTCAATAGGGCTTGGTCATGCCACATCCTCTTTCCTCCATTTCTCCATCCCAGCAAGATTTGGAGTATGCACCCAGTACGTTGTTTAGGCCATGTGGATAAGGGCTCACTTAACAACTGCATACCAAAACAGGCCAGTCACTTGCAAGATTTACTTATATTTCTAAAGCTCCAGTTAATTCCATATATGATGAATGGGAACTATTTCGAATATTGGGTAGATGCATGACATTAATAAAATAAATTATGGATTTAAAAAGTATCATCTGCATTGACACTGAGATACGAAAAGAGCATTTGCATCTAGGGTTGGCCTTCCTGGTCCCATGAAACACTTAAAGCTCCTGGCTATGCCAGCTACCTCTCATACCCACCCTCCCCACAATACCTTGCTGTAGCCTTTTCTGTGTTATCTTGGCTTCATTTAACAGTTTATCACTTTCGGAACTCAGAGTTTTAGCTTTTCTTGGAAGATCTTCCTTTATCACTGTCTGAAAGCAAAGTGTTTATCAGTCTTACATTTATCTTAGGAAATATGGAGTAAGATTCTTCATTCGAGTCTGAAGCCCTTATCTCTCTTTTTTTCTTTTAATAGAGAGATTTTTACTATAGAGTGCATGTGTTTGCCAGAGAGACCTAGAGAGACAGAAAGTGAGAATTTATACCCCAGGAGGGATGGCCACACCACAATCCATTCTCCTCTCAGTATTTTGGGCATATATGCACACGTATCCATTGTGGGTTTTAAGCCATCGGATCTGGGACTCGAACCACAGTCAACAATGTGGGAGTCCAGCAATGTAACCATTATGCCATCTGCTAGTACCAAAGCCCTTATCTTTAAAGGATGAAGTTTTGCAAATAGTTTTGAATTGTGGTCAAGTCATCAGTCAAGTAAATATAGAAATGTCTAGACTAAATTCAAGTCTACTCTATGAGGGATCTTCAAAAAGTTCATGGAAATGTGTATAATGAAAAAAACTATTTATGGACCACAAAATTGTTTGCATTAAAATTAATTTGTACTTTAATTCTATTTCCCTGAACTTTTTGAAGTTCTCTCATATATAAAAATTCTGATTGAAAATAATGCATTTTTCTATTCTTGAGTGCACATGCAGAGAAAATAAGGAAGTGACTTATCTCCCAAGAGAACCTGGAGACGCTGTCGGCACAGGTGCCCACCTGAAGAGCGGAGTCAGACGCGCTGGAGGCCTTGTTGGCTGCATCCTCGGCTGCCTTGATGGCATTGAGGATGCTCTCATAGGCAGTGGCGGCATCCACAGCACAGCGCACTAGCTCATCCCCGCTGGCGTTCCTCTTGATCCTAGAAAGATAGCCAGATTAGGTCCTCCAGCAGCCATTCCATGAGTGGAGTTGATGTTCCCCCAAGCCTTCATGTTTGTTTGGAGGGTAGAGGTGGTGGCCTCTCTAGCTCCACCTTAAGGAGCCGATAGGAATCAGCATCCCACTGCTGGTCTGGCTCTGATTAGACCCAGGTCCCCAGGTGGGTGTCAGCCTGGACTCCACCCTCCACCCTGCTCTGGAAAGCTGCCAGCCAGCCCGGGGGTAGGCCTCTGTTATGCTGGAGCAGCACATGCAGTTTGGACCTCTGTGGCCACACACTCACTCTTCCAGCTGCTTTGCCAGCTCTTGTAGCGACTGTGCATGCATTTCTGCCTCCTCCACCAGGGATAGTTTGCTAGCAGATCTGGAAAGTTCTCTCTCTCTGTCACTTATTTCTTGTCTTGCTTCATTTAAAGCGGCAGCTAATTTTTCATATTCCTATTTTTTCCAAGTAAATGAAAACAGTATAAATTCAAGCAAAGAATGTGTACACCATTTTCCTCCTGTCATAAATGACATGTTTCCAGAGGCAACAACAAGAAATTATATTTTCTAATCCTATTTACCACACCAATTAATCCTTAGTCACTTCAAATAATGGCATTAATAATAGTTCCTCAAGTTTTACCATCACTTAAACATTTTCCTTGGGATAGTTACTCCCTTTACTAAGTTTTATAGAAGGAGAATGCATCGTCAGTGTAAAGTTGTACTAAACCAAAGGACTCTTTCATAATTTAGAAATAGCATCATAAAAAAAATGCCCTTGGTCTACCAAGACATTTTGACAATCTTAGCAAGTCTTACATGTCTTCTATTAATAAAGGTATGCTTGGTATTTTAAAAAGTGCAGTACAATTTTTTTTTGTTATCTCTGCAATGATTTGCTCATTGCAGACAAATTAAGTAATACAGGTCATAGAAAGAAGACACATCATTGACACTCCTTCAAGCGAAAATGGCTGTTAATATTTTAGTATATTCCCTTCATCCATAAGACATAGACTTGGAAGAAAACTAGGTCAGGCCATTTCGTAGTTTCCAGGCAATATAATTCTTTTTTTTTTTTTTTAATTTCCTAGAGAACAAACAATCTCCTTTACCTTGTGGCCTTTCTCCATCAACTGCAATGCAATGTTGGTTTTCAGCAAAGAAGAGTCTGCTGTGGTCAAATACTTGGTGAAGTCACTCTGCAGGGAATTTATTTCATTCATGTGTTTCTGGAGAGAATAAAAAGAATATCTGCTTGAGCTCCATAATATAATGTATTATTGGAAGACACGGGCATATTTATCAGACCACAGTATATAAGTGATTTCAGAGTGAGAATGTTTTCTTCCACCTGAAGATTGTCTAGATAATGACAGAGATGGGAAATCAGTTTGCAGCGCAGGTGTGTTGCCACAATTTCTTCAAACTCTACATCAATGAAGGAATTACTATCACTGTGGAAGAGGGTTTCTACACTAGAGGTGGTCAACTTGGCCAATGAGGTGGATATATTACTAAGCACAGAAGCATGGAATAGAATGAGATTTTTAACTAAATAAACCAGCAGCAATCAGCAGCACACACTAATGCTGGCGCCAATGAGCGTGTCACTAGCACTCGAATAGATTACAAAGCACCTGGGAATGCCAGGCTAAAGCCTGCCAGAATTCAGAGAACCATTAAATTGGGTCCTGCTCCCTTCCTTTGGCATACCAGTGACTTCAAACAGAGGCGTTACTATCTAAAGAGGCTTTGGGTGCTTGGCATGTATTTATCTGCTGAGATGTAGTTTATTTCCATTTACCAAATTCTTCCTATTTTGGGATTAGCACCATGTTATTTGACTTCTATCCTGTTATAACTCTTCACATTTTTGTTGTTGTTTTAGCATACTCTTTTATTTATCTATTTAAAGTTTATTCATTTCCTCAATTAGTGAGAGAGTGAACGAAGAGGGACAACACCTCTGAAGGGGTTCTGATGCCGTGATCCACCCAGCCTTCAGCCAGCCCCTTATCAAGGGCGTGCATGTGCCCTGTGTACTCAGGGAGGCCTTCGGACTGGAACCAGGAACCTTCCTATGTGGAATTACCTTGCAAAGCATCACATTTTATTGTAGCACCCCTATCCAGCCCCCTAAGCATACTATTTTTACAATTAAAAACAATCAGTACAGGACCAACTCCATGGCACAGTGGTAATGCACCACTCAAAGAGAAGCTGATCCTACAGGGCAACTGCAATTCGAATCCCCAGACCAGTGGTCCTAAAATACCCTAAGCACCTTCACAAGTGTCCAAGATCTAAGAGGTTAGAGGACTGGAGGAAGAGGATCACCATCTAGTGTGACCAGACATTGTTGAAGGTATTCATCTCTCTCTCACACACACCAAACATACACTCTCACATGTGCATGGACATACTTTGTCACGAATAAAGAAAATATTTACATAAAAATTCTTAAGAATGTACAGTATAAAATTTTGAGCTCTAAATTTTGTCATTATAGCATCTATATGTGGCCTATACATTAACTAATTTCATATAAAGCCAGTAATAGCTTAAAATGCCTTTTCTCATAACTAAGATAATGGTGTAAGAATGTTTATATATCTGACACACAAAAAAACATATAATACACACTTCAAATTAATTATAACATTATTCATTTCTTCTCTGCTCAGCAGAAGCACTCTCCAGCATCCTTCTGTCAGGACCAGAGCCTAAGCAGTTTGCCTTGCCTCGTCTGTGGTTTAAGTTCAGAATCTTTCTGGAAGCTGAGGAATAAAAAAACCTTTGGCTTTGCATTTGATGCCCTGTTCCTTTTGATCAGGGTCTGAGGTGATATAAGAAGACATACAGACAGGCACCTGGCTGTGCTATTTTACTAATAACAAAGACCCCGTGCCCCTCATCCTTATCATTAGTGAAATTGTGCAGCTTCCAGCTGTGCACTCACCTTGATGGCTCCTAGCACTCTCTCATTTTCTTGGTTAAGGCCAGTGGCCTGTTTGGCTTGGGCAGCCGCCTCCTGTAGGGCAGCTCGGAGGTCAGTGACTTTGGCTTCGTATTCTTTTAAAGAATTCCAGATGCTCTTCATAAGTTCACTGTTCTCCACCTGGTGGGTTTCTGGCCAGTTCTTTATCCGGGTCAGCACTGTAATACATCACTTTCATGTTTCCACTTGAGAGATGTGTATATTGAAGCTAAGTTATGAAGACTACAGAAGGAGAATTGAGTTTCTACTCATTTCATGGGTTTCCTTGAACTTCCAAGAGAATGGGAAAGAAAACTAACACATGTCCAGACCTTCTGCGTGCATTGTATACACTGCTCCACTTGGTCTCCATGATAACCACGTAAAAACAGTAATTTTAATTCTCATGTTCCAAATAAGGAAATGGAGGCCTGGAGAAATTAAGGGATTGGTCCAAGGTTACATGACCAATCTGACTTGGGACTTGTGCTAGCACTGCTCAGTAAAGCGCGCGCGCCTTCTACTTACAGTTTAAAACCTGGACTATACTGGAGTCTTCAAAAAGTTTGTGGGAAAGGTGTTTTTATGTAAAAAGCTACGCATGCATTTCTTTTTTTCACCAAAATAAACTTGTACTTGAATTCCATTTTTCTGAGAACTTTTGAAGTCTTCCATATTAAATTTGAACAATACAGATGCTCTAAGAAAACTACTATTCTCTGTACATCAACCACTGATGCATTATTTTACTACACAATAAATATCAGTATTTGAAAAAATATATACCAACCTAATATTTCTCAGTTTTGAACCAAGAGACATTTTCCCTAGCCAAAACCTTTAGCTATATTAAGTTACTATCTAGTATATTTTATTTTTGCTGTCTTTGTAAAGTAGTGTTAATACCAATTTGTGCTTCGATGATCCAACAGTGGTGAAATAACTGTTAAAAATAAAGTGATGAGAAAATTGGAAAGAGGTGAATTATCATCAGAAGAAAAAAAAAATCATTTGAAAGGAAAATGAGGTGCCAATATCTAACTTTTAGGAGAAGATTTTTTTTTTTTTGGACATATGATAAGATGCTATATTCTCAGTGACTTGGAGAAAAGATTCTTGGTCTCCTGGGCTACCCCCTTTTCCCATATGACAATGTCATAGCAGTAACTGGAAACTGTATTGTACATGGCTCATCACATGTCAAACCAATTGGAATAAACTGAATGGAAAAATTGGGGAGCATCTTACAGAGCTGAGCCTCTCTTCTTTCAGTTTCCGCCTCTTGGAGGTGCTTTCTGAAGTTTCGGTTCCGCAGTTCCCTCATCATGCGCTCTGCTTCAGCCAACTCTCTGGAAAAATCACCTGAAGGCAAGTTGTTTCCTTCTCCATCTGTCCCAGAGATCTGCTTTAAGAGAACTAGAAAAGGCCAAGTGGTTATTAAACTGGGAATTCTGGGCTTCAGGAGATTACTTAAAAAAAAAAAAAAAAAAAAAAGGCAGAAACTTTTTTGGAGATTTTATATTAGTTTTTTAGTATTGCTGCAGGATCTCTTTCATAATGCTGAGCTTTAAAAAGGAATTCACTCAGTGTACAACAAAGGCTATGCAACAATACTGGAAAACATTTAACTGGACTGAGTAACTCTTACTATGCACATTCCGGATGACATTTTTAATCTTCGTGTCCAGTTCCTTTGCTCTTTGGGTTGTCTGATCAACATTGTTATATAATGTTTGTGCTTTTCTGGAATTTATTTGAGCCTATGTAAGAAAAAAAACAACAAATTAATTAGCAACAAATTAAGTTAAAGTAAAAAAAAAAAACTGAAAATATTTAAAAGAAAAAACAGAAAACAAAAAACAAAGTGAAGCTAATTGACCTAACAGTACCTTTTCTTGCAAAGTCTCAAATTCACGATTCAAATTATTCAGTTCTTTCTCCAGGCCATTCATTTTGGATCCATGATTTGAAATGGCAGAACGGTAGTTGAGCAACTGGTTCTGAAAGTAAAACACAAAACTAATCTCACTTTAGAACAGACATTTACACTCAATCCTATCAGCACGATAAATGCTATAATGACATGAAAGGATTCATTTAGCAGGACTGATGAGAGTTCCACAGAAAACAATGTGGTTCTTTTAAATAAGTTACATGACGAATCTCTCTGATGAAAATTGTGATATGGTTCTAAAATAAAGTAGCAAGCATAAAATATGTGAAGAGACAAGAGGTACTTTACTCAGTTACCAAACCATATAGAAAGGAGAGTGATACTTCTTAATGTATTAATTTCCAGATTCTATAAAATATTTATTTTTAAATAGCTATAGTTAACTTAATAATACTTAAAGCAGTGAATAGGGTACTTTATTGAAAGAACCATTAGATTCAAAGAATCTAATCTAAGAGAGCTAGAGGGGAACTCAGAGCCTGTGCAGTTGAATTCTCTCATATTAAAAATGAGAAAAAGGAAGTCTTTGAGGTTGGGGAACATGTCCATGGCTGAATAGTGATCAGTGGTTGTTTCAGGAGCATAATCCAGGCACTAAATTGCCTCATTACTTTTAGAAAGGACGTTGCTACACATCATTTCTGGAGTAGTGATTATTATCAATTTGGTGTCGGGGGGATGTTAATATCTTGAAAACATTTACAAGAAAGAAATGACACTACTACCTCCATTTGTATGTTGGAGGCAGCAGTAGGTAAAAGAACACATGCTGAGGAGCTTAGGTCCAGACCCTGCATCTACCACGTAGGAGATGAGCCTCACTAAGCTTTATCCCCTTCATCAGTAAAATGAAGATTACAACAGCAAACTGCAGAGTTGGTTTTGGTGATAAGTGAACTGATGAATTTTAAAATCCATGTATACATGAGCATTTAAAAATGCTAATTCCCTTCTCATACTAATTCCTACAGAATTTTCAGTGTTCGTGTGATATAGCGAAAGATAGTACTATTTTAACTTTACCATGGGAAAATTGAGGCACATCATGTATAACATGTCAGCAGAATACCTAGTCACGAGGTATAATGGGGGACCAGCAGTTAGCGTAATAGCTATGTTGCTGAACTCCCATGTAGTTGACCGTGGTTCAGGCCCCAGACCCGGTGGCTTAAATTCACACCAGGCACGTGTGCATGAGTGCCCAAGATCCTGAGAGTAGAATGGAGAAGGGATTGTGGTGTGGCCATACCCCCTGGGGGGTGATTTCTTGCTTTCTGTCTCTCTGTCTCTCTCTGTCTTTCTGGCAAGTGCATACTCTCTATAGCA